ACGTCAGCCTTCCTGCTCCTCTGATGCTGCTTGGCCTGCTGTGTTCATCTAGCTCTACACCTTGTTATCTCAGATTCTCCAGCATCTGCAGTTCCTACTATCTCTGACTTGAGACCTAATTTAGCCTGAACGGAATGTGTTCCACCCAGCAACTGAAACAAGATATACAGTAGCAGTAGGTGTGCAATTCTAACCCAGTCTTCCGGTTTGATTGTCACCTGAAACATTTGAACTTCTTAAGGCACTATAACCATGTTTGCCTTTCCTGATCTTGATGCTTTTTCTTTTTCTCTTTCTCTTCACCATTTTTATTCACATGTTGTCCAGTGCTCTGCAACGTACTTGGTTTTTTTCAATAGCACTAATTTCCGTGTTTTAAAATGTAAAAGACATGAATGTAAATGAGAGAACATATCCATTTGATAACAGTGTGGAGCTGGAGGAACACAGCAGGCCAGGCAACATCAGAGGAGCAGGAAAATTGACGTTTTGGGTCAGGACCCTTCTTCAGAAAACTTATCCATTTGTTTGTATTTGAGAGATTAAGGGCTGCATTATCATACAAAGAAGCCTTTTCCCTTGAGCAACATTCACCGTTTTCTCTGAGGCAAGGGGTGTTCCAATTTGCTGCAACATAAGGATACCTTTTTTTTTTGATGTGTTTCAAAACAGAAATTGCTAGAGAAACTCAGCAGGTCTGGCAGCATTTGTGAAGAGAAAGCAGTGTCAGTGTTTCAGGTACAGCAAACCTCCTTCAGAACTGATTATATCTAGTAAAAGGTGATATTGTGCTGAAGAGTGGAGGTTGGAGGAATAACCAATAGGTGGTGGTGGAGGAGCCCAGATGGAGACAACAGCAGTAGGACAGACAAAGGAGCGGGTAATGGTGAGGGAAAACATTGGCATTTCTGAGACCACCCCATCCTCTGCAGAATGTGGCATCATCAGAACAGATCAGATGGAGAAATTTGGAGCATAGAACGGAATCTTTACAGGACACAATGTGTAAAGACATAGCACAGGTACTGTGGGAGTCACTAGGTTTGGAGTGGATGTCATTGGCCAGCCTATCCACAGAAATGGGAACACAGATGTTGAAGAAGGGAAGGGAGGAGTCAGAGATGGACTAGGTGAAGTTGACAGCAGGGTGGAAATTGAAAGCAAAATTGATAAGTATCTCCAATTTCAGACGAGAGGGGGGGAAGCAGCAATGATGTCATCAATGTACCAGTGAAAAAGTTGTGGGGAGGAACCTGAGTAGGATTGGAACAAGGAATGTTCCACCAGCCGCGCATTGTTTTTTGTTTTTTGATTTTTAATGTTTACTGTGCTCCTGTAACAGTATGCTGAGTTTAAATTAAAATACTTCTAGAAGTGTTGTTCATCCAATCTGTTAGAAAGTAATTTTTAAAATGCACTACTATCATGATCACATGATTAAACCAGGAAATGATATAGCAGAGGTGTTTTTTGTGCATGGTTCACAGTCAGATTGCCTGTATTATAGTCTAACAAGACGGTTTCCACCCCTTCCCTGTCCATCCATCAATGCACGATTGAACATGTCCTTGTTCAGTTTTTATGGCTGTGGAATTTGCTTTGCAAAATAAATATGAATTCTCCCATATTGGGACTCAGCACTTAAAGTTGTAGAGCTGTACAGCTGGAAACAACTCTTCAGTCCTACTTGTCCATGGTGACCAGATATCCTAAATTAGTCTAGTTCCATTTTCCAGCATTTGGCTCATGTACCCATCCAGATGCCTTTTAAATGTTATTATTGTACTGGCCTCCATCACTTCCTCTGGCAGCTCATTCCATACATGCACCACCTTCTGCATGAAAAAGCTACCCCTTAGATGCCTTTTAAATCTTTCCCCTCTCACCTTAAACCTATTTCCTCTAATTTTGGACTCCCCACCTCGGGGAAAAGACCTTGTATGTTCCCCCTATCCATGCCCCTCATGATCTTGCATACCTCTATAACGTCACCCTTCAGCCCCTGACACACCAGGGAAAATAACTGCAGCCTATTTAGCCTCTCCCCATAGCCCTAACCTTCAAACCCTGGTAACACCCTTGTAAATCTTTTCTGAACCCTTTCATGTTTCACAGCATCCTTCCTATAGCAGGGAGACCAGAATTGCATGCAGTGTTCCAAAAGTGGCCTAACTAATGTCCTGTACAGTTGCAAAATGACCTGCCAACTCCTGTACTCAATGCACTGATCAATAAAGGCAAGTATACTAAATGCTGCCTTCACTGTCCTGTCTACCTGTGACTACTGTTAAGGAACTATGAACGTGCACCCCAAGGTCTTTTTGTTTAGCAACACTTCCCAGACCTTACCATTAAGTGTACAAGTC